CGCTAGAGTTTTATAATCATGAGACGGACTTGTTAGTTTACAAGTAGCATTGTGATTATAGGAGCTTGATTTATATATGTCCATCGGGTCCCTTTGCTAGCTCACATAATTTTCTGTAACGATACGGTGTATTTCCTACACATTGGTAACTTGTGTTATTTCCGTAAAAGAGGTTCAAAGTTAATTCGTGGGTGATTTATCGGGTGAATTAATTGATAAATTAATTCTAGATAAAATTGGTTGAATTATTGTTTTAAGAGTTGTTTAATATGGGAAGACTATGAAAGTTTCCCATGTTGAAAAACTAGGAAAACAACTTTCGTCAGTGTGGACAGGTCGACCGGTCCGGTCGACCAGTTAGTGAAGACAGGTCGACTGGTGAGTTATAACGTCTTTGTCACCGGTCGACTGGTTATAACGTAAATGCATGCTGACGTGACAAAATCGACTCTGGATGCAATTAGAACTTTGGGAAACCTAATTATTACGGAAGTATGACTTCCTAAACACTATAAATAGCCTATTAAGTCACATTACTTAAAATATCACTTGAGAGACTTTTTAGAGGCTATTGATAAAAGATTCCTGAGAGGAAAAATTGTTTAATTCTCAAGAACAATTTTTTTCTTTGGCTCTCTTGTGATTGGAAGGAGATCAAGAATACCAAGAGGAGATTGAACGACGTGTGCCCACCCACACTCCGATCGTGGAAATGAGAATAGCAAAGAAGACCAGTTGGTTGAGGCTCTTCCGGTTGCTATTTGGAACGCTTTGATCTGTCAGACGTGCAGTTTCCTAAATCTTAAAAGGTATGATTTAGATCTTTAGTATTTATGTTATATAGCATCATGAACATGTTCTTGATTGGTTTTGACATTGATTAATTTTTTTAAATTCCGCTGCGCACTCGATGCCATTATTTTCCAACAATTGGTATCAGAGACATGGTTATTTGTTCATGATTATGCTATGTACATAGATTTGTGATCTAAAAATATCTCTTTTATGCTTGAATTGATATTTTAGAGAGATGGCACTCTAGGGTTTTTATATTATGTTGTTATCATGAATATATGGTGAATGGATGATTAAAAAATTATTATTGATTATTATTTATAAATTATCAATGATTATTTATTATTTAATTTTTTTACCGGTTATGGTTCCTTAGAGTTTAGAATGGTTGTATAGGAATTTGTTCATTACAATGTAATTAGATATGCGGCCTATCATCGCCGTTGGGGTTTATTTTATTTTCTTTAGTATAAATTTTGTAAATCTAAAAACGGTATAGGAATTTTTATGTAAAAATTATTGATGGAGATTTATCAAGGATCTTAAAGATGGATCTTGAAGATGAAGGATATAAATGTATCTAATTTTTTTTGGTTTATAAAATTGTTTTGTGTTTTTTGAATAAATTGAAAAACTGCTTTGATTTCTGAAAATCTGGGTTACTGTCGTACAGGCCCCGGTCGACCGGTTAGTGTAAGGCGGTCAACCGGTTGAGTATAATTACTCTGTCACCGGTCGACTGGACCTAATGTGACAGTATAAGATTTTTCAGTTTTTTGAGATTTTTTCAAGAAAACATGAAAAATAATTTTATGATAACCAGAATTTGATCGTGATGAAGAATTCAAGGACAACCGGGAAGATTCAAGATGAAGGATCAATATATGCTTCGATTATTCTTAGTAATTTTTATTTTTTCTTTTCTCTAGGTTAGAACCATAATATTACGGTTATTATTATTATGTTTGTTGCCTAGTTTAATTGCTTTGTATGATTGTATATAATATGATTTGCTATATATGTGATAACATGTCATGTAGAATAGGGAGTGCCGCTCATTAAAATTGTTCATGCATATTTGTTAACATAAAACCTTGTTTTCCAAAAGATTGAGTGGGTGAGAGTTTTTGAAGAAAAGACCCATGGCCTCCATCTTTGGTCCACAGGTAACACATGGTGATACCGACCCCTAGGAAGGGATTCATTATGTACCAGTGTGGATCTCCAAGAGGATAATTTATTTGAGCATATTTTTATGGTTGTATACCCCTAGGTGACAATTATAAAATATGGATCAAATAATTGAAACAATGGTTATACACTCAAGATTAATTTAATTATTAATCTTCCCTAGGAGCTCTACTAATTAAATTAATGGCCAAAGAAAACGATTATCAATATATGCTGGACAGAGATTGATCTGGATGGTATATATTGATCGGATGGGATCCGTGTTCCCAATTAAATTTTGCATGATCTCCTCTAGGAGACTTACAAAATTTTGAGTTGGAAATTATCGTTGTGAGGTTGTGATTTTTTCAAGGTTTTGACACACAAACATATTTGTTGCATTATAATATGTATATATGTTTGATTACTAAATGTTTATGCAAGTTTGCTTATACTAGATATATGAATGTTTATTGTAGATCAAAATGTCTTCTAGCGCATTATCATCAATACTTAATAAATACAATTTAACTGGCGAGAATTTTACCGATTGGAAAAGGAACCTAAAGATCATCCTAACCTTTGAGAAACTGAATTTCGTACTGAATACACCTTGTCCTCCGGAGCCACCTGTTGATGCTCCTAATGAGGTTTCGTAGCATATCAACGCTGGAAGGACTCTGACGATATGGCTCACTGTTATATGATGGCGAGCATGTCCACTGTGCTACAAGCACAACATGAAGATTACATAACTGCTCGTCAGATTATGGATAATCTTGAGGACATGTTCGGTGGCCAAGCCACTGAAAAATGTTGGGAAGCCCTAAGTAACCTCATTAACTGCATACAGAAGGCTGGGTCTTCCATAAAGGAACATATGCTGAAGGTGATGGGCTATTTGGCTGAAGTTCAGACCAATGGGGCTGACATCGATGCTGAGTCTCAATTGACCATGATTTTTTAGACTTTGTTGAAGGACTATATTCCGTTTAGGGCAACGTTCAATTTGAGCGCTAGACAGAATATAACCCTGACAAAGTTGATGCAAGAACTCCAAAAGTTTGAGCGCATGATCAAGGGGTCGACTATTATGGAGGCCAACTTTGCTGAGGCATCTTCCTCCAAACCCTCTCCAGGGAATGGAAAGAAGAAGCAAGTAGCTAAGAAGGAGAGTTCTTCAGTTCCGCCAAACAAGGGCAAGAACAAGAAGAAGAAGAACCCGAACAAGCTTAAGTGCTTTCATTGCGGGAAGGTGGGGCACATGAAGAAGAATTGCAAAGACTACCTAGCCGCTAAAGGCAAATGAGGTGAGTGTGATCTTTTGATTGTGGAAGCATGTCTGGTTGAGGAATCCAGTGACAACTGGGTCATAGATTCTGGAGCAACTAATCATGTGTGTGTTTCTCTGCAGGGGTTCAAGCAAACGAGAAGTCTTCTAAATGAGAGCTTCACGTTGAGGATGGGCGATGGAACACTAGTGTTGGCTGAAGCAGTGGGAGACGTCCATCTTTATTTTGATAGTTATAGGAGTTTATTTTTGCGAGACTGTTTTTATGTTCCTTAATTTAAGAAGAATCTTATTTCTATTGCTTGTTTATTTAAGGATTCTTATTCAGTTTCTTTTAATAATAAAGTTGTGATTCGTAAAAACAATTCTTTTATCTGTGATGGATGTATGCAAAATAATCTATATTTTATCAAACCTAAGATGGACTCATTGCTAAACACTGAAGTTGTTAATAACTCTAAAAGGCTTAAAACTTCTCACTCTCATGAGACATATCTTTGGCATTTGCGACTTGGTCACATTAGCCTTAACAGGATACAAAGGTTGGTAAAGGATGGACCTTTAAGGTCTTTAAAGGTTGAGTCCTTACCCCAATGTGAATCTTGTTTGGAAGGCAAAATGACCAAAAGACCATTTGGGTCTAAGGGCAATCGGGCTGAAGACGTTCTTGAACTTATGCATAGTGATGTTTTTGGTCCCATGAACATCAAGGAAAGAGGAGGGTATGAGTATTACGTCACTTTTATTGACGATTACTCAAGATATGGTTATGTGTACCTATTGCGCCACAAAAGTGAAACTTTTGATAAATTCAAGGAGTTTCGGGCTGATGGAAAAGCGCAACTGGGTAAACCCATAAAGGCACTTCGATCAGATCGAGGTGGAGAATACCTCTCTGATGAGTTCACCGGATACTTATTAGAGAATGGGATTCTATCCCATTTAACTGCACCTGGCACTCCACA